TATATATATATATATATATATATATATATCAGGACAATGCAATTACATTTAGGTTCTCAAGTTGTTCAACTATTTATTATTAATTCGTGAAAACATTCTAAACCAATCCGAAGAATAAAGTTTCCACAAACTTTTTTCTCCTGTTCATTTTCTACCAGAAATTAGAGTTTGCTTAATAAAATATTACTTCAGTGCTTTCATAGCTGGACACACACAGCCAGATACAATCAGTGCCATCACCATCATAGGTCTTATACATATTTTGGAAGAACCACCCTGTGAAACTTATAGCAGGTTCTTAAAAACGTAAAAAAAAAACGTAGGTTTTATGCCGATAAACTCAGATGTCATCTTTGGATTTGGTATGGCTGTTCAGACTTTTTTCATTAGCGCACATAGATGTCCACTGAAGGAAATAGTAAAGAAATACAAGAAAAGGCGCTTTGGTGCAAATGTTCATTGCCACGGAAGAGTCCTATAAAGCGTAAGCTAGCAAGAAAACAAATATATCTTTATGATTCTTTATTAAAAAGTTAAAGGTGCTGCACCCTCAGCATTTATTGGTTCATTTTGATGAATGTGTGTAAAAAAAAAACACAACTTTAAAAGCAATCTGTATACATACTGTACATGTATTTGAAACCAAAAACCTGGTGCAAACATCAAGAAAATGTTTTAAATAAACACGTCTTTCCTATTTTCAAAGGTGCTTAAGAGAAACTGAGATCTTGAGAGATTTCATTTTTGTGTCCCCCAGAAAAGAGGTGGTCATAGATTTCTATTGAAAAGGTCCTGGACAATGTCTTTTCTGCGGGACATAAAGATGAAATTGCAAAGATTTCAATTTCTTTACCACTCTTGAAAATAGGAAAGATAAGAGAACATAACATACAAATAAAATGTAGTGCTGATCAAAATATTGCTAATTTATTCCCTCTGCATTATCACCAAGAATAATTTGAAATTCTCAAAGAATTGTATAACAACTGTATAAAGTGCCACGTTTAAATGTTATCTAAATAACTTGTATTCACTTCTTTGATACACTTCTGTTTAGAATAGCAGAAAAGGCTTTAGGAGGATAAGAAAAAGCAACTCAGTCATTTTATTACCAAAAATATTTGTTTCCAGATTAACCTTTAAAAAAAGGTTAGACAATCAAAATCTAACTTTATTTTCAGGAGTTGGGCACTCTGCTGAGTATCCAGGTTTTTAAATTAATAGTCATGGTTATCACAAGATTAAGTCATGATTAAGATTAAAGATTTAAAAGATTAACATTAAAAGGGAAAACCTTCACTTTGGCTGCGCTTACTGTGAACGAAAGGACTGACCTGCTAAGAAACAGCCGTAATGTTTAACAAAGTGAGATTTTCTGCAGCAATAAAGTACTTTAAAGGGAGGCTTTCCATAGATCTTTAGTTGCAGTACTAAATGAATGGATGTAACTTTAATAATTGATGTTTAAAGATGTCTTTCAATTCTTGTTTGTATGTTTGTTGTGTTTGTTTCCTGGCAGAGATCCCTCCAACAACACCTCCAGTCACAAAGGCTAAACCCAAACCCAGATGTCCCTGCAATCGGAAGACGCCACCACAGGGTATCTGAGTTTTTACGGCACTTTCAATACTATGATTGTCATTAGGATACAAGCTCATTATTCCCGGATTGAAATCACATCGGAATAACAAAAGACAATGTATGAGAGGCAACCAAAACAAATCAAATGTATGTTTACTCCAGATGGCTGTGCCTCTCTGGTTCTTTGGCCGCTTGTCGGAGTCGCTGTGGGCCTGGCTCTGGGTCTTCTATGCTTGCTCTATTACTTCAGCCGTAAGTAGTTTTATTCTTTTATAAACAGTCACATAAGAAAAAGTAGTTCCTGCTGAACAACAACATCTCAAACTAAATGGCAGGATACAATTTAGATATTTGGATTCAAAATAGATTTATTTTTGTTTTTAACATGTTTTTTGGGGGGGTGGTTTCTAACAGGGTTGCCCAAAAAATGCCACCACCACTTTGTAAAGTAAGTCCAGATGTAAAAAAAAAACTAATTCTGATATGACAAATAGTAAATTATTTTCTATTCTGTTTCTATTAGCATTCTTTATTACCTCCATAAACTGAATCAGCTCATATTGCTTTTTTGTTGTGTTTTCCATCATTAAGGAAGAGGCTGATGAGCTAAAGCAGCTTGTTTCCCACTTTTACTGGACCTTAAGTAAGCACCCTGTCCATGTAACATGACTTTTGATTATTATGTTATTATTATTATTATATTTCAAGTCTAACAAAACTTTTTCTTCTGATTACAGATTCTGGACTGCTTTACTGAAGCTCTGCGGGACACGAACCAAAGATGCTAAAAGCAGTTTCTTTCTGAAGGAAAACGTGTGATGCTGGACACAGCTTTGTAACATATTGTCATATATTAAGACCTTTCTACTGTATATTCCATAATTCAGGCACCTTTTATCTTGAATGTTTCGGTTACTTTTTCTACTGTAGATTTATTTTAATTTAGTTATTTCAGCCTAACCTGAACATTTAACACTTTGGGGAAATTACTGTTACATCAGGACCAAAAGGGTGTACATTATCTACCTATGAATAATAGTTTTTTTTAGGTAATATTCAGGAAAGTCAGCAAAATATTTAAAGCAAACTTGTTGCTCAGGATGCTAATTTACACTGTTTCCTCCATGGTGCATTTCTTGGTGTTTCCGTAATATTTGTGCAGAAATGTTGTACGTTGGCCTTTTAATCTCCGTATCTCAGAGTTGTTGTTTCATATGTAAGTTGCATTTTTGTTTGATATAATAAAGTTGTGCTTTTCTAACCAATGGCAGAGTGGTAAGGGATAATTACTGGAGATTTTTTCTTTCCACTGTTGGTACATGCATGTTCAGTGAGATGGATTGCTTTAAAGTCAGTGAGACAAAGCTAGATTTATGCAGGAAGAATGAGTCCTGCAAATTACTGACTCAATGCGGTTTGTTGGGTTGTCATGCATAAAAAACGTATAAACCAATATTTCTGTTTGATTTAATTGAACTGACTCTATAACGTGCCGTAAGATTACATGTAGAGATGTAAAGTTATAAAAATAGACTGCGTTACATTGACTTATATAAGAGGTCAAGCACTGCAGGCTATCAGTGTCACCTTGGGGTTCAGTTTTAAATGAGCAGTAAGTTATTTTGTGTTCGCGTTCGGAGAGGTTTGGAAGTGGGTGTTGTACTTCCAATCGTCAATATTGTGTTCAGCGGAAGTTGAGTAGGTGAGTGACAAGGTTTGGTTTCTTCTACTTTTGATGCTTAAACTTACCTCATATTTGGTTTCTGTTTTAGTTGCATCCAATTTGTGCGTATGAGCTTTACTGTAGGTACAGGGTTTAAGGTCAATTTCAGCAAAATGTGTGTGTACTTTACAAACACACACATTTAGTGACATACGCATTCACACCTGTGTGACTGAGGAGAGCAAAGCCTCGGCTGAGCTGGTGGCGGTGCGGGTCTTGGGGGGGGTGTGCAGCCCCCTTTTCCTGTGTGCTGGAGACAAAGAGCCATGTTCACGGAGATGCTATCGCTTTGCTTAGCTTTGAGCTCCACATCTCGTCTCTGAAACAAAGCAACCGCAAAAAGCACCACACACAGAACCACAAGCACTTACAGGTTCATAGAAACAGTAAGAGGAAGACATGAAGGCTCTTCACATATGAAAAACACACCAACAATGGTTGGAATGAATGAAACAAAATTATAAAGTTTGTCTAAATATATTTATTAAATTGCATCATCACAAAAAATGTATTTTATACAATATTTAAGCAAATTATGATAAATATATGTTTGAGCAGATTCCTGTTGTCCAGTTGTCTAGTGGTATTGCTGCAGTAATAATAATAATATTGGGTAAAAACATGTCAAATGAGGCTAAACAATTTTGTACAGTGAGCGAACAAACAAAATACATTTTAAAATGGCTTAAGATCTAAATAAAACAAATCCTTCATAATATTTAAGTTCATCAAAGTTTTTAGACATTTCCAAGAGAAAGAAATACCATTTCAGAATATAAAACCGTAACGCATCAGACATTCTCACTGTACCTTTTCTATTCTTTATAGAGAGTCTCTGAGCAATTACATCAGGTTTTGGGGAAAAAAAAATCATACCATTCCTACAGTTTAAAAGTCTTTATTATGATATCCTTTACAAAGTTTTAAAAAACAAATTCAGAGTTGTTTCCTGGCTGTGTTCGACAGACTCCCACAGGTCCGCCTCCACCTTTCTGTTGCTTCACACTGCCTGTTAGCTGGCTGAAATAAGGATACTTCATTTTTGCTTTGAAAAACTGCAAACTTGCTTGTGAGACAATTCATAGTAGCTTTGTAGAACTACAGGTTGACCGACCATTATTTTTTCCCCCACACTTTTTTTTAAACTATTGCAATAGCAAAAAACTAACAGTGACAAGTCATAAATAGTACAAAATAGTAGAATAAGGCACTGTAAATTTGCAAAACTATACATTCAGGAAACAACTAATATTTTATATTACACATTTTTTCATGGTCATTGTTCTTTTATTGAGATAGTATGGCAGATGAAGGGTTGTAATGAAAGTAGGCTTCACAGCACTGACCCAGCAATAAACAAGCATCACTCTTAAGTTAAAAATGTTTTCAATAGTGTTTCATGTCTAAAAGTGTCTGGCAACCCGAATAGATTCCCTAACAAACCGCTAGTATCAGCTTGTTACACTCCTTTTTACTCTGTTAAATAGCTGAACGGTAAATAAGTAAAACAGTTTGCAGAAAAAGGAGTTTTACAAATTCTAATTATTATTATTATTATTATTATTAACAATTTTTCTCAATTTGTTTTTAAAAAAGTTACAACGGGGAATACCTAAAAACGTAGGTATCAATATTTGGTTAAATTCAGCAGGATTAGGCATAACCTACTTTCTTGGTTCAGGCAAAAATATTTTGATATATTCTTATGCAGGCTTTGTGTTAAATTGTGGGTTAAACACTGAAACAATAATTTCTAATATGTATTTGTTCCATTATTAATTTCATAATGACTCAGTTTAGGTATAACAAAACTACTCATACTGCCGTTACAAAGGTTTACACTTTTCAAAATATCTAGAAATATCCTTGTTATAAAAAAAAAAGAGTAAAAATGCATCAGAAACCAATCTTTTATAATAGCAGAAAACTGTTCATGCGCTGTGTATAGCAATATTGCTAAAGTTAAACCGTGTATTTAATCATTATTATGGAAGAACTTTAATGCAAAGTTAAATGAAATTAAAAATATAAAGGGTCACATCATGCTACCACCACTTTGTCTCTCTACGTCTGTTTTATCATCTATCCATACAAAACAAAAATCTGCAGCAATTTTCAAATAGTGTATTGGTTTAAACTTTTCAAAGAAAGTCTTAATTTTTCCTTTACTTCAATTCCTTCATGTTTGTCTGAACTGTAATAAAGAACAGAGGAAAGTTATCTTTTACATTATCATGAGTTTATACTATAAAAATCTGAGTCCATTTACATTTATTAGCAAAACATGACAAACTAATAAACTACATGGTAACATGTGGCAACACCACCGATAAGATACTTATATCAGCATAGAAGCTGCACGTTGTAAACCTCCACAATTAAAGTAAATCCACTAGAAATAGAGATTTTTATAAAGGTAGAAACAGACATTTCAAACTCAGTGTTACAGTGTTTATAACACTAAACTTTTATGTTGTCTACATAAGACATAAATGCTCTATTTCTTTAAAGAAAATAATATTTTTACAGTCATCAATCTAAGGAAAACAAACAGACAAAAAATTATTAAAAATCAAATTTATAACTAATATAACTTTGTGTATTTTGACCCTTATGTATCTGCTTTATTAGTTTCCATTTCAATATGGATTTAGCATTAGGAAAAATATATGGTACTAATGAAATGTTGGCGTCTTTCTGAACTGACACCTAATTGTTAGAAATGTTAGAAATTTGAATTATTTACTCCATTTCTATGAACTTCTGGAGAAATGCCTTTTTGTTGAATCTCTTCTTTGAATAATATAAAAATAGCAAGAGTAGACCTGTATACATGTTATATATCTAAACATAAGCTTAGCGTCTGATATGTTATCTTAACACATTTTCACATGTTTCGCATATAAAATCCACCTCCCAACAATTTACATATGATCAATCTAAATATCTAGAATGAGAGCTTAATGTTGGATTTTGTTCCAAAACCTACCACAGACTGAACAGTCCTTACAGGAAGTCCCAGAAAAAAAGAAAAAAAAGAAAAGATGAACAGACATGTTGATGTTCCCATCTTTCTGCAGGCTTTCAGGTCTTCTTTCTTCACTTGATTCTCTTCTTTTCCCATCCTGGCCTCTGATTATTAGAATAGTACTAAAGGATCTATCCATTTTATCATTGCACACACACCGGTCCTCTGCCTTAGAGCTCAGGCTGATGTCTTTTCTTTCTCACAGGCTTCCCCTGGTCACCCACAACATGAAACACTCACACATGCAAGTTTCAGGTTGGAGACCCCCTGTGTGACTAAGACAGGGAAGCCCATGCAGGTGTTCCTTGGTGGGTGAGTCACACCTGAAACAAAGATATGGAAAGGTGAAGTGGGCTAATGGAGTCTGTTCTGACTGGTCTTCCCTTTGGCAAAAAAAAAGCATCAACAGAATCCCCTGATTACTGAAAACAGTGCTAAGACCGAAACCAGACATGCTTCAATCTGGGTTTCATTTGAAATAAATGTTAGATTTACTTTGTAGAAATAAACAGCTTCTGCTTTGCGACATTCACCCAAAGGGGTTATGAAACAAGTTAGAAAAAGGCTCAGCAGCAGAGGTAATAATAAAATAACTAATTTAAAATCCTCTGCTTTTCTGATATTTCCTTTCGCTCCTCCCACGAGTGGAACAGAGAAATCACCCACAGAAGAGCAAAATGTCAGAACTCCTTTTGCCCATTAACAAGCCGGCGTTTTTATTTTCCATCACAGCACAGGAAATGTGATGGGCTTTGAGTTGCGCAGCCATATCTCCTCTGTCTGTAGAGTTTCACTTCCCCACAACTGTAAGACCTGCTTTCATCTGAACTGACAGAACAGCAGAGTGCAAAATCCTTTATTACAGCTGCAGAGCTTTGGTGATCGATTGTTCTTATCGATTTAATCTTTTGACAATTCTTTCAATTATAGTTTTTATGTTAGATGAGAAAACTATAATTTTGTAAATCTTTGGATGAATTAATGCTGAGTTGATTGTTCTCTCAGCACAGGAAATGTATGTAGAGTCTGTATTCTCCAGTTAACTGTTATTAAATTAGTTGATGATTATTTCAACACACAATCATGATTAATCTGGTAAACTGGTTTAACTTGTTCATATTTTATTCTTTAACAATTTTAGATTGGGATTATTTATGAGATAGACCAAATAAAGTAGATGGTGACTGTAAAATGGAGTTCAAAGGGGTATGGCTTCTGCAAATTCTGATATTAAAAGTCTTTACCCCTGTCAACTATGTGTGTGTAACTAATTTTCTGGTTTAATTAATAGCTAGTTTTACATAATTACTTAATTAAAACTAAAGCAAACAAATGAAGTCAGGGTAACTGGAGCTTTTGTGGTTTCTCTTTAATAGAAGAGCCCCTGCTGATCTGACTTTTCGTCATATGTGTTGCTCAAATTGCACAAACAATTTATTTTATTTTATTTCTTCGTTAAATGCTCCTTTGGTTTTCCGGAATCTAAGCTAAAAGTCAGCATCTGTCTGTGGTGATTTTTACCATCATTCAGGGTTCTCATGTTCAGTAAATAACATAGGCATGTGCATGTTGCTGTTGCCATCTAGTGGTTTAAAGTTTACCCAAGAAGGGGTATTATCAAAAGAAAGCGGATTGACATCAGATCGAACTATTTAGACAAGCTGAAAGGCCCTATTAAAGCAAACTGTTTTTTTTTTTTTTACCTCTCTAGCAGAGACCACAGGCTTGTGGTCTCCATGCCATGCTGCACTAATGCAGTAATTCATGCAAACAGAGCTTAGACCATGAACTTAGTGCATAGACCTTTTTTTCCCCATTAATTTTCTTCAGCCACTCATTGAGGGTCAGTTTATACTAAATAATTTCATGTATTTCATATTGTCTTTTTTAAATAAACCTCCATCCATCCATCGATTTTCTGCCATGCTTATCCCAAGCAGGATCACAAGGGTTGCTGGTCCCTATCTCCAGCTGTAAACAAACCTGGAAGAAATTTTGCTCTGGAAAAAGTAAAGCATAAATGAGGTTCTGGGGTAAAAACTGAAAGAAAAATGTAATGGATCCTATGGACAATTCCACTACTTCCTGAACTCAAGGCAGCTCTTTTGTTTCCTGTCTTATTACTGGATGAAGTGATTAATCCAGGTGTGTCTGGTCATGGTTATTGAGCCCAGCCACTGATCTCTATTTTTTCCACTATTTTTTAATTGAGATCAGTGAGGCCAGCCCGTAGAAAAAGCCAGGAAAAAAAGAGCTGCCTTAAATTTAGGAAGTAGTGGAGTTATGCATAGAGCCCATTGTCTAATCTGTGTGTATTCGCTGTCTTAAAATCACACTAGTCAATAGAAAACTGGAAACAATTGCATCTGTCACTAAAATGATTTGTGCTCTTCAGCATCAGCATTTCCCCTCATCTCTTTTTTCACGTATCTTGATAGAAACCATAGTAAGTTAATCAAAACCTGTGGTTTTGTTTTAGTAACTATGTTAAATGTTGTCTTTTTTCCCCATCATTATATAGATGATGGTTTCAATCATCAGTATGCAACGGTAATGGATGATCATCCTGTTTTATTAGAAGAAACATCCATTATGATGTTTCATTAGAGGGAACACGTATGAAAAAGATGACCGACAAAAAGAGGATAAAAAATGTATCAAAAGTTTAGCACTGAACAGGCTGTTATTTCCAAAAAGAGCACATCAAGATTCCCACACAGAGACAGGATCCTGTTAATGTCAGAACGGGTGGAAACTTCAACAAGCTTTACATCATAACCATAAAAAAAGGTGAAGCATTTAATTTGTGCAAAAAGAGTTTAAAGTTATAGTTGCACTTTCAACTATACACCCCCCCACACACACCCACACATTGCTGTGTTAGTGTGCCAATTGTTTTTGGATCAAAATCTACTGTTTGATGCTCTGAACCAAAGGAAGATGAGCGACGCGTTGCTCTGGTGGGCTCCACTTCAAAACCTTGTGCAGACCACGACCGTAGTGCAGGAGGGCTCTGCAAATGTTCCGCTGCAATGATCCCATTCGACACAGCAGAGAAGAAGGTTACAGCTGGGGCGGGGTTTGATATCTTACTCAACTATCTGCATCAGCTTTCAGTGAAAGCCAAAGGGACAGGTTTAACAGCTATTGTTGTCTGGGAGGTTAAAAATGGACCAAAAAATGATGCAGATTCTGCTGATTTTACTGCTTTATCCAAGTAAGTTCTATTTAGTTTTTCTTTACTTACACTTATCTATTTAATCCTTCTTGAGCATGTACATAAAATGAAGAAATTGGGAACTAATTACTGCTCTCATTTTATTTCAAAATTCAGAAATCCCTTCTGCTGTGGAAGTGGAAGAGGATCAAAGCCAGGAGATCAAATGTTCACCTCCCAATGAGGGATCAATCACAATCAAGTTCCTTTTTAGAGTGCTGGATAAATCAGGCATGGAGTTCATAGGGTCGTTCAGCAAAACTGGTGTCATAAAAGAAAAAGGAGCCAGCTACAACAGCTTGTCGGTAAAGTATTCTGAACCTTCCTTCATTTTTACGGTAAAGAACTTCAATAAAGAGAAAGACAGTGGAATATACAGCTGTGCGTCTCTGGTCGGTGGAAATAACCTACAATTTGGAGACGTAACTACACTTAAGGGTAAGTTTTGCTTAATTATTGCTTTAAAAACCACATCAGAATTTTGTTGTGGGGGATATCAATGCTTATATATAGTTCCTCTTTATAAAGGGAAGCATAAAGCGACAATGAAACCACCAGAAATCCAGGCTCCCGCCGCCACCCAGGCATCAACAACTAGGAGAAGCTGTGACTGTACGATTAGGGTCAATTCAGGTAAACACTCCAAACCTTATTTAAGTACAGAAAAATATCATCTGCATTGTAACACAGCTGTAAGGAGAGTATGGTGGTAAAAGTAGCTTTTATTTAGCAGATCATTCCTTGTTTTGTGCTCCAATCATACTCGGCCCTTTGGCTGGAGCCTGCGGCCTTCTTCTCCTGCTCCTCATCGTCACTTTTCTATACTGCAACAGTGAGTCCATCTGATGTTTAGCATCCTCAGAAAAAGCTTTTACGTATATCGGATTTTGTCATGAAATTAATGTCATTCTTCTTGAAAATGCTACTCTTTTTTTCCTCAAGATAAATATAAGTAGGCTACTTCCTTTTTAATTCTGTCTTCCAGGAATAAGGACTCGAAGATGCCCTCACCATTACAAAAGAAAGTAAGTTGTCATTTTGAAAAAATAAAAAAACTTCTATTCTTACTGTATTTTTTTTTTTACCTGTTTATTTTTGTTTGCCAGGCTGTAAAGTTTACATCAGACATTTTTTTTTCCATGCAGAAAGCGCTTGTTTTTGCATGGGAACGTGGTTTCTATTGTTACCGTTTTAACAAACTACTTTGACCTAAAAAGTTTATCCAAAAACTGCAGGACTTGGTACCCGCTTAGAACAAACACCTGCCTTAAAGGCCGAGTTACACTTTATGGCCCAGCAAACTTACATAGTATTTTTTCAAACGCTTAAAAAAAATTAAATAAAGCATTTGAAAAAAATTACTAATTACTTCCGCTCTTCCTACAATAAAATTTGAAATGGTCTTTGATTTTTATGCAAATGAAATTTACATAAATATGTAAAATCTGTTTTCTAAAAGTGTTGTATTTTTTTAAAAAATTATTTCTTTCGTTATTTGTATTTCTTTTTAGGCTGAGGACGATGGCGCCTGAAAAAGAAACGATAACCAACAGATACATCTGAGCTTGATGCAGTAATTTTATGTGCATTTCTTTGAAGTGTAGCTGAAGTTCCCTCTTTGTTTCTTGTCAGAAGGAAAAAAAAACATGTTTTTTAACAAGATCATGTAAAACATTTAAAAGCCCAAATCAGCTGATGTGCTTATTAATAAAGAGAAAAGATTCAAGCGTACTAGAAAATGAGGTGACAGAAACGCTACCCCATTTTAATTATGGACATGCAGTTTTCACTGTGATTTAAATCCTTTTCCGAAATCAATATACTTCTGTGCCTGCATTTTTTAATTAACATGACATCTGACAAGAAATGTATGTACTGAAGAAAAAACTGAGAACATTTTACCATGGTGTTTTTGATTATTTGCCATTCTAACCCATGTGTAGCTGTATATATTCATCTTCTTTGTGTTTCTCACATTTACAGTACTTCGATCTGAATTTCCTCTTGAAATGAGATCAAACTTTACTGTTACACTTTAGCTTCCTGTTTGTTTCAAGCATGTTATCACTGTCTAATTTTTTTAGCTTAAAAATCACATGATCCAGCGATGTGTATATTTTTCTATCTTTTATACGTTTTAAGGCAATAACAATTAAAAAGACCAAATATAAAATCTTCATTTTTAAATTTTTTTTTTTTTGCACATTGTTTTTAAATTCCATTTGTCAGAAAAAAATAAAAATAAACCAGAAATTGAACGATTGTAGTATGGTGTATTTTTGTTTTTCTATTTTAGTTTAGGGCCTGTGTCGCTCGTTCTGAGATTTGGTGCAGAATTACAACATTTGAGTGAAACACTTTACGACCCCCTGAATCAAAAGGAAGCTGCTTCAACGGTAAGCAGAAAAAAACAAGATATCTGGAGAAAATTGCTTCAGCAGATTTAGTTCCATTGCAGTTTTTAATGTCATTTCACTGCAATTTTAAAAAGGCAACGCTTTCAATTTCAGCCTTTTGTTTTTTGGTAATAATGCCAAAGTTAATAGTTCAAGGTCTACATTTTCTTTAATATGATTTTTATTAGTTAGAAAAAAGGAGCAATCCTCTGTAAATCATACAGTGTTTTTCTTAAAAGAGCATTTTTTTTTTAACAGCATACAATCCATTGCACTTCATAAACTACGTAAACGATTTCAGTTTACTAAGTGCACTTGTAAATGCCAGGAGTTTTTTTTTTTTTTTTTTCTCATAACAAGGAACTCTAAAAGACCCTTCTATTAACAGATATTTCTTGACAGAAACAAAAGGAGCCTTTGCAAAAAATGTTTGAGATGCAGAAGTAAGCACAACACCTACTGGAAAACCTCCACATAAATCATGTAAACGACACGATATTTCAAATATCCGCACACAAAGCTGTACACTAGTGTCTCCATGGCATTTAACCACAACTTGATAGAAAACTTGGCTTTTACTGTGTACATCAAGATTGCACATACATCCCAACACAAAACACTCGCTCCGTAGTGCTCCCACACAATCTAGGCTTATGATTATCTGTTGCATCATGATGTTCAGGTGTCACAACAGCTGAGATGCAGGACTTTAATGTTACAGGTTTTTTGGTTTTGTTTCCATACAGTCTTTATTCATCACCTCTCTCTATCTTTTTTTTTTTTAGACCGTTTTTTGATGTGAAAAGTCTCTTTAGTTCATTATGTTAAAGGGAGAAACAAAAAGGTTTGTCTTGTTTGACTGGAAAACTATGAAAGTCAGTGCTCGTAGATATGTTTGGGTTTGCCTTTTATGAGCAAGTGTTTTAGGTTGTGTCTAAGTCTGCCGGTCAACCACTATACATTCTTGATGAGTTAGAAAAATAGAATCAATATCCAAAAAGCAGCTCCCTCACTGATGAACCCCCGTGGCCTGGAGGAGGAGTTACACTCACGACCTGTAATGAGGGAAACAGTCGGTCAGTGCATTTTGGTCATCAAGGAAAATGGTCTACAAAGACAGGAGCACAGCTTACCAAGTAAACTAGCTCTTTCCTCCCTTTGTTGTAGATGTGGGCACAACATCCGAGCTCAGCTGAGCCGAGAGCTCCTCGGTAGCAGATGTTCCCGCAGCAGGTTTTGTCTCTTGTTTCTGTATGGAAGTTATTGTGAAACGATGAAAAAAAAAAAGGAGGTAACATTTTGCAAAAAGTTTACAAATAACGTCATTCTAAAAGACTGTGATAACCCGCTTTCAGCTCTAAAAGCTTGCATGTCGTTTGTATATACCGCCTGCTCTGTCCTAGTTGCTGAAGCACAAGGCAGATAGAACATTTGACACCTAGCCACAAACACAGCACACACACAAACACTAGCCACAGCAGGTGTGTGTATATATATATATATATATATATATATATATATATATATATATATATATATATATATATATATACTGTATATATATATATATATATATATATATATATATGGACCGATTTTTAAATCAAGGTGTAAAGGAATTAAAGGTTTCTCTCCTTCTATTGATCAAAATTTATTAAAGTAAAAACATCTAGATATACATTTTAAAGTTTCCTGTTTGCTCTTAGGAAACAAAAAAAACAACAAAAAAACATATATACTCTACGTTTAGCACTCATAACTCAGACATTTCACTTTGCCATCTGATATGGCTCTAGATCAAAGGTTCAACTCCACTGCCCTGCTACTTCTAGATGGGTCTGTACCTTAAAATACGTGATTAATTTAACTAGGTAATTTGGATTGTCCAGAACTTGACTGAATAATACATTTAATAAAGTCCATCAGATAAGGGAAAATCTAACAGAACAAGGATTAAAGTTTTTTTTATAGTGCATCGATAAATGTAGAATGCTATTTTTCTGACTGTAATTTCTTTATCTTTTCCTAAAACTATCCCCATGACTGTTCTCTGATGTCTTAACGAACACTGCAGATTACTCTCTGTGACAATGCTTTCATTTTTGGGTTAAAATAGTCATTCTGAAGTGTTCTAGCTCTTTCCCCAAGTTCACCCTAAAGATGTTTAACAACTAATACAGATCTTTGAAAATCAGATATCTTTTGCCCTGACTAAAGATTGTCATTTATTATAGCTTTCTGGTGGACATGCTCAAACCCAAATGCAAAGCCCAGAGTGAGAAGAGCCTCAGTTTGCAGACGCATAACAACTTTGCTTTATATTTAATAAAATGTTTTAGCTGTGGTGTCCAGCCCAGTTAAGCAGAGAAACGCATATTCTGTGCAACTTCAGATTAATGGTGGCCTTCATGCACAAAATCCTCTGCTTACTTTTGACTTTGACTTGCTCTTGCCCTGCAACAAAGTTAAGTTTGGTTATACTCATCCAGTAAACACTGCCCCTGGTGGTTGCTCTGCTGTAAGTATAAGTGAATGAACTCAAAACAAATAAATTAAGTCGTCCTCTAGTGGCAGTTTTTAAATCATCAAATAATATTTCTATGTGGTTAAATGCTCGAAAAATTATCACAAAACAGTATAATGTAATGTTTTTTGATTAGTTAGCATTTTACCTTCGGCTTGTCTGTTTTAGATTTCGGCTGTGGGGGGTCTGTGATCAGTTTATTAGCCAGAGCGTCCAGAGCAACACCAGACATTGGCTAAAAAACAAAAATCAAACAACATCTTAAAACAGGAAGATAGTATTATATAAAAGCGGTCTCAAATAAATTCATCATAATAAAAAAAAAGAAAAAAAAAAAAAGCCATGTTTAAAGAAATCTACAGGGAGTTTTATTTTCCCGCTACCTTCATTGGCTCTGAGTCCAGAACAGGAGGCTCCAGCTTTGTGGTGGATGTGCTGACCGGTGCAGGAGGCTGAGGGGTCGTAGCGAGGTCACCAGACAGCAGATCCAAGGCAGTTTGGTCATCCATAGCCTTCTGCAGGGTGGAGAATAATTGGAGTTAAAATCTTTCCATACCAATCAACAAGTGATGCATTTGAGCTAACTATTAATCTATTCTTTAAAGATTGTACCTCTTCGGGTGCTGCAGCTGCTTTCTCCGTTGGAAGTTTCTTTGAAATAAAGTAAAAATAAAGATACTTATATGACTCAAAAGTAACAACTGTGTTCAAAGATGCTTCTCAATTAAGCACTGAAGTTATACAAAAAAGGGTTGAAAACTAAAGGCATAGAGCTGATGTTTTTCAAGTTTTCTTTAATGATATATTCAGTAATACTTCCCTCATAGTACAAAGAAGTTTAAATGCACAGGTTGGTCAGATACAGGCTCCTTATTCAGCAATTTAACAAAATTCTACCTGTATAAGTTTGCTCTGTAATAGAGAATTTAGATTTAGATTTTGTCACTGATGGATAATGTCTGTGTGGTTGTGGCTGCTGGATCGACTCCATGTCGTTGGCCACTCTTAGTCCACAGGCTCTCATTTCTACCTGCAGAGTGTCGACACGACTTTACGGTCCACAGTATAAAACCCTTTATGATTAATGGATGATGTTGCTTCCAGTTGGGTCATGCTTAGACAACACATTAGAATGTGTTCTAAGGGACGCTATTGTTAGATTAAAAGAGAAAGCTTTAAGCAGGAATACGTTGTTTTTTTTTTACTCAAATTTTTGCACAGAAAATGTTGTCTAAATGGGTAGATGTCAAGTTTTATCAGCCGTAAGCTGAAAATCCCAATTCACAGGAATAAAGGCATTGAAGCATTGGTTTGTGTATAATTAATCTGTAGAAACTTGCAATTTTCAATCCTTGTTTTCTGATACCCCCTTAATTTATGATTAAGCAAAAACAAAGGGAAACTGGTAAAGGATTTTGAAGTGGGGGGTTCTGGAGACGTTACTTCTGGTGGTTTCTGTACAGCATTGAGATGTTCTGTGGTTTCTACTCTGCTGGCTCTATATATATATATATATATATATATATATATATATATATATATATATATATATATATATATAAACAAAACTCATTATAATTATCCTATTCATCCTNTATATATATATATATATATATATATATATATATATATATATATATATATATATATATATATAAACAAAACTCATTATAATTATCCTATTCATCCTGTTATAATTATAATGGTATGAGTTGCATAGATGGAGCCTGCAAGTTTTCAGCAAAATAATTTTGTAATATGTGGATCTATTGCTGAACAAATAAACTAGCAGCACAATCATGTTAACATGCACTGAGCTTACATTTACTATTACAATGTTGTATTCAGTCATTTCAAACATGTTCGGTTAGTTTCATCATGAGGCAGAAATAGGCTGCTCTTTAACATGATTTGATATCTTTCTGCTAAGGGAACAACATAGAACTCTTCCTTTAAAAACAGAAAAAAACACATCAAATGACCCCTTTAACTGTCTCTCTATGGTGTTAATGTCTAGAGTACGTTCAGTAAATGCACTTTGGTTCGTTTTACCTTGAGTTCTTCCTCGGTTGGCCGGTACTCAGGAGGCAGAGAGTCATCCCTCTCTCCCATCTTAATCAACTTCTCTTCTACAATTTTTTTCTCCTGCAATGGAAAAACCCCGCATATAATTAGAGCTATGTTATATGCAGACTCTATTTTCTGAGAGTTGAAGAAGTTAATCGACAGTTACCTTGACAACGTCTTTGGTAGGAAGAGGGGCGGGCTGTGGGACGGGAGCAATATCCTTTAAGGTGTCAGACAGAGCATCCAGGGCGTTGTCTGCTTCTCCAGGTAGCTGAGCCCCACAAAAAAGGGGTAAAAAACAAAAAAGGAAAGAACAAGGTTATTGATACCATAGGACATTGGAAAGTCCAAGACAGCTTTAGCTTGGGCTGGATTTTTACCGGCACACCGGCATCCGCTGGAACGCATGGAGCAGATTTAACAGGTGGAGCTGCAGAGGAGGCAACAAATTCTCCCGCCAAGGCATCCAGGGCAGCGTCACATGGCTGAAAGCAATCAAATGGGCCGTGATTTACCAAGTAATCACTTTCTGTGTGAAGATATTCTTTGCAGTGATGCGTACCTGTGCCGGAGCAGCAGATGGGGGCCCAACAGGAGCCTGGCTGACAGGGGCCGCTGAGGAGGCCGTGAAGTCTCCTGACAAAATGTCCAGAGCCTCACCGGTTCCCATGGTGGGCTGGTGGAAGAAAAGAAAAAAGGAAAAATTGATTACTCTAAAAATAAACAGAAATTAGTCTAGAAAAAAATGCTCCTGAATCACTGATTCATGTTTTTATTGATAAAACGGTGAAATATTCCTGGTCTCACCTCAGGTTTAGGAGCAGGAAGTTTCTGAAGTTCCTCCTTGTTAAACCTGTAGTTTGGAGGCAGCGTGTCTTCTCTTTCACCCACAAACGTCCCCTTCTCTTTTTCAATTTTGCCCACCTGTAAGACAAAAAAACGGATGCATTATGTTATTTTATCACTCCAATCTAATCTGTTTCACAGAAAGCTGACACGTCATGAAACTAAAACATCTTTACGGATTACAGTACAGGTTGAACTAAATCTAAAAAAAAAATAACAGCCAGCATAATCTGTGGCCTGTTTACCGAGACAATGTCTTCAGGTCGGAGTTTAGGGGGTTCGGGTTTTGGTTTGTCTTCTGGCAGGGTGTCACAGAGAGCGCTGAGAGCATCCAGAGACATGGAGTCTCCCTGAAGAGGAAAATAGATGTTAGTGTGCCAGTATCGAATTAATTATACATTAAACTAATACATTTAAATGATATAAGTAGAAAAGACACTAAGAGTAACCTAAACAGGCTTAAAACTAGAAATAAAGGATAAAAATTTCCTACCTTTGGGGTCTTTTGTTGCTCCTTTGTAGTAACAGTTTTCTGTAAAACAAACACATAAACGCTGTATCACATCCAGACAAATTTCAAGAAGTTAAGAGATATTCTATCAGGAAATCCCTCTTTTTTATCGAACTCAGATCGGCATCGTGGACAAAAACACCCAGACTGGGTCATTTTTAGTGAGCACACAAGTAATTATTTACCTCTGGAGTTTTCTTTGTTGCAGGAGGGGCAGGTGCCTGGACTCCAGAAGCTTTAGATGGAGCTACGAAATCTAGACCTTCAAGAGCAGCCAAATCCTCCACTTTTGTCTAAAGAGATAAAACAATTGAGAAAGTTTTGAAAAGAAGAAAAAGGTTGGAATTTTTTTTTTTTATAATAGTAATAATAATAATAAAAAAAAACAGAAAAAAATGTTCCTTCAGTCTGTACAAATATGAAAACCGAAATGAAGAAGATATAATTTGTAAAATAAACATTTGGTGAGTGGGAATCCTTGCTCTAACCACATCTAAGGCAGATAATCAGTTTTTACTGGCCGGCTGATGTTGGAAAAAATATTCCAGTGATTCTGTTTGTTCATCTTCAATTCAGTTTATTTATATAGCGCTATTTCACAACACGTCATCTCAAGGCACTTAACAGAGACAATTCAACAAGATCATAGAGTCAGACTGATTCAAAGTTTCTATCTAAGGAAAAGCAGATTGCATTAACTCATTGAGGTGACAAATCCCTCACAACGAGCATGCTTGTAGCGACAGTGGAGAGAAAAAAACTCCCTTTTAACAGGAAGAAGCCTCCAGCAGAACCAGGCTAAGTGTGAGTGGCTGTCTGCCGAAGCTGACTTCATGTGCTAAACTGTCTTTAAAGCTTAAAGAGTGCAGTGAGTGTTTTCTACTTAAGAGTTTAAATAATTAAGAAAGTATAAGATTAAAATTATAATTTTCATGTTTGGTTAAGATAAAAAAAAGCATGCCTTCAACCATTAGATTGACCAAAAAGTTCTCCCACATTTTAATTAATATAGCTTGTTTATTGTTGAGAAATCATTTAGAGAAAGGTCAGAATTTGGTCTCATTGTTCACTGACTGTAAATCGGACCTCCTGTAATCTGTTGTATACCTGGGCTGGAGGACCTGAGGGTTTTACCACTGGAGTCTGGACAGGAGCAGCTGATGAGGAGGTTGTAAAGTCTCCAGTCAAAATGTCCAGAGCTTCATCAGTCCCAATGGAGGGCTAGAGAGGGAAGAATCAGTTGATGAGTTACTAAGACATTAATATCTAAGGCTACTAAGTCTTATCTGAAAAATAACTTATTTTGTGCATAGAGATTTCAGATTTGATTAGTGTTTGTCTAACCTCTCGTTTTGGAGCAGGCAGTTTCTTTAGCTCTTCTTCATTAAACCTATAATCAGGAGGAAGAGTGTCATCCCTCTCCCCTACTCGAACACCCTTTCCCTGCTTTACTTGGCCTTCCTGTCAACAGAAAAAAAAGCTAAATAAAATAAGCAACGAGAAGATTGTAATCTTTTACTTTAATAGCTCTAGTAAGTTGTGTTCCTACAGAGACGATTTCTTCCGGCTTTAGTTTGGGGGATTCTGGTTTAGGTTTGTCTTCTGGCAGTGTGTCAACAAGAGCACTGAGTGCGTCTAGAGACATAGAGGCGCCCTGAGGAGAGAGAAGCACATGTATTGATCTTAAAGCGCCAATCGATCCTCATTTAACAAAACGTGTCAAAGTTTATCTTGTGTAACTGAAGTGATGTAGGAATGAGAAGATATAAAAAACAGATAAAAATGTCTGGCACTGCACCTGACCACCAGCGCACACATCTTCAGGCTTCTTTCCAGAAACAGGTGGAATTCCAGAAGACTCCACTTTCTAAGAGAAAAAACAAATAAATAATAATAATAAAAAAATTAATTATAATCCGACAGTGATCCGAGCATCATTTTTTTGTGCATTAACATCAAAAAAGCCGAATTCTTTACTGTCTTCAACCCTTAAACGAATTAGAAAGGCCTTTTGGTAAATCGGGTTCACGGTACCTGAGCGCTGCCAGGAGACAGAGCCGCTTCCAGAGAGAAATCACCAGATACTTTTTCTGTCTGAGGTTTGCCGACAGCAGGAGGAGGAGTTTTCTGCAGAGAGACATCAGTGAGCAAACAGTGCAACAAGAGATGCACCCAGAAATCGTCTTGTGACCGAAATCATCCATTTTCATCTTTACTGAAATAAACAAAATAAATAAGGTTAGGGTCTGTATTCAGACAAGCCCTAATAATCATAAAGTAGTTTTTACTGATGTTATTTTAGAAAAAAAGGTTAGGAGTAGTGAGGAGCCTTGGTCCATCTTACACAGCGAAAAACAGAGAAAGCCATTAAGATGATCCACCAACAATGGGGTTTAAGTATCTTTAACAATCATACAATTATCATTAAGAAGATTTATTATCTACATATTGGGAAATAACATAACAACGAGGTTCACCGTTTGTACCTCATTTATAGTCGCCCTAGCATCAGAACATGTTTAGATTAGTCCAAGGAAGAAACTATCTGAAAAAGAAGTTCATTCTTAAAAAGCGGTTTATTATGAGCACCAGAAAGGGTGAGATTTTCAGCACTACACACACTAAAGTTTTTCAGCCCCTGTTCTTCATGGAAAAATGCTTTTTTTTTTTTTTTATGTTGAGGGCTGTTTTGGCAAATGCAAAATTAAGCTCAGGAAGTCGTCCTTCAGTGCCAAAAGTTATTAGCCTCGTGAGACCATCCTGATCTTGCGAGCTTTCAAGATTTCACTCGCTAATCAGTATGGAGACTCTCCGTTGAAGAAAATTTGGAGCCGTTCACCAAACAAACAGCCAATCAGCGTTGGTTTTGAGGCGGGTTGAGGTGTGACGCAACGAGAAGCGCGACAGTTCAGTCTAAAGAACATGGCGGCTTCAGCCGATTAAACTAGCGTTAGCGTGGCTTTCGAGCAAGTTTTATCGGAATTACACTGTATTTCTTCACTGAAAGAAAAGCAAAACACTGCTCTGGAGGCTTTTCTCAGAGGAAAAGATGTTTTTGCTCTTCTCCCGACTAGTTTCGGCAAGAGTTTGATCTATCAATTGGCTCCTCTTCGTCGTTGCTCTGTTTCGTCATATGCTTCGTTGATCTGATTGGTTTATTTGGCCCGTCTATCACCAACATAGGCCAATCAGCTAACCAGTATTTTCGCCCCTTCCCAAAATTACTTCTAAGGAAGGTTGGATGGATATGCGGAGCAAATCCATCTGGCGGAGTCAGGTTAAAAAGTTATAATCAGAAGCCAAAGACAGTTAATAATGTTAAACAGGGACGGCTCTCGAATGACAGGAAGGCGAGATGTTAACAGTTAAAGAATTATGATTAAAACTCTTAATTAACCAGAAACATTTAAATTTGCTTCAAATGATCAACGCTTTGCAAAAACTAAACCAGCCACAAACTAACAGGTACATCTCTGATAGCAGCTGGCTTTATTTCCACATCTCTACAAGTTAAACTGCCAACCTGTGCAGGGGCTGATGAAGGGCTGACCACTGGAGCCTGGACTTTAGGTGCTGCTGATGAGGTCATGAAATCTCCGGACAAAATGTCCAAAGCTTCTCCGGTTTCCATAGTCGGCTAAAAGAGAATGACGGATGAATTATTTTTTATTCAACTCTTGCATAATTAATCATATAAAACTTGTTTGAGAAAGTACATTATCTCAGGGCCTACCTCAGGTTTAGGAGCAGGCAGATTCATGGACTCGTCCTTTTTAAACCTGTAATTTGGAGGGAGGGTGTCCTCTCTCTCCCCTACAAAAACACCTACATCAGGTTTGATGTTTGTTTCCTGTTAAAACAGAAGAAATTAAATTAAGCATTTCCTCCAGAAACTATGGTGACCTGGAAGGTAAGTTTTATGCTCAAGCAAAGCCCCCAAAACTCAACAGTTTTATTTACCCCTGGTCCACGATAAAGTGAATAAAATCAAAAATAATTTAGTGAAACATAAACAGCGCAGTGCTGCTTCTTCATTTCCTACCTTAACCACCTCTTCAGGTCTGAGTTTAGGAGGTTCAGGTTTTGGCTGCACTGGTCCCAACATGTCATCGAGAGCACAGAGGGCATCCACAGGGATGGAGCCACCCTGATGGTAGATCACAAGCACACAGTGGGTCAGTCCAACTTATTTATTCACACAGGAAATAGCAAAGCTCTAATTTTTAACCTAAACTCTCACCTGTTCTGGCTTGAGCTGAGTGCCGGCTTTGGTATCCAGTCCAGCTGCTGTTTTCTTATCAGCTGCAGCAGGAACCGCTTTCTACAAAAGAGGACCAAAAATGACTTTAATATAAATACAAATACTTTAATACTGGAAATTAAATGAGTGCAAATAATTCAATGATGTACTACTGTATAATTCTAACAGCTAAAGAAGCTGGTATCACTTAATTGGTCTATTAGGTATTTTTCAACATACTTTAGGGAGAAAATACCTGGGAGGAAAGAGCGGCGTCCAACGAGAAACCACCTGAGGTTTTCTCCATCCTGGCTTTCTTATCAGCAGGGGGAGCAGCTGCAGAAGGAGCTACTGCTGAACTTTCAGTTCTCTGCAACAAAAAAACAGCTAAGACCTCCACTCCTCTGTAACAACGCAGTGATGAAGCTCAAAAGACATAGATTTTTTATGCATCTGATATATAGCTCGTCAACAGGATTATTTGTTAAGGAAATTAAATTTATCTGGCCCCTAAGAGCCAAAAAGAGGCATATAATGTTGTAAACAAAGTGGCTAAAACTGCTATATAAATGGGAGTTAGCAATACCAGAGGAGAATACACTTTAAAAAAGTAGAGGAATTAAAGACTTGATGTTAAAAGGGCCTTATATAAGAAATAAGTTTGACATTCATTTATCAGAGCAAATGAAACATGAAAAAATGTAAGGTGTGGGAATACTTTAGTGAGGCCCTGCATATCTGAGCATAGATAAACAGAAGATTGTCTTGTCATATGATAACAAACAGTGTTATAGATAGGATGGAATGCTTAAAAAAAAAACACAAAAAAAAACTCACCTCCGGCTTTTTTGGGGCAGATGGAACCATAGATGTAAAACCAGCAGACAGGGAATCCAGTGCTTCATCTGTGCTCAGCGGTTTCTGACATTAAAAAAAAAGAAGAATCTTAATCTTAGCTTTCTGTAACAACCTCCTAATGCTCCACTAGGTGGCAGGACATGACTGGTCACAAAGTAAAGGGAGAATAATGTAAACCAGACTACATGTACCCACACTGAGGGAAAAGTACAGACACACCCTTCCTCACATTCCACAAGGACCAAAAACTCACAATTAAATGTTCTTAAAATGAAACACACTCCAAATAATTATCTTAAACAGTTTTATCAACAACAACAAAAAGACAAACATAAACTAATCCACTGTTTGACTGGAAAAATGTTGCAGGCTGGAAGGAAAACATCAACCTCTTTATTAAGTTGCAGATAAGGGTCTGCTGAAGGTGGGCAAATATCAAACTACTTGTTAAAGTGCTGCTATAAGAGTTTGACATGTCGATTCAACATGAATCGACTAGTTCCAGCGGAGAAGGTAGCTTCTACTCTGAGCTGTTAGCTGAGCCAACACCCAGCTGTACAATGTTGGTGCAGAGGAACCAGCAGGTTCAACTGTGGAAACATTACCTCCTATCTGAAGTGCTTTGTGTGTCATATGGAGGAGTACATTTTAAGGAAGTAGGTTTTTGAGCTCTATGTGAGTTTAAACAGAGAGGCTTACAAAGCTGTAGTTCTTACACTGCAAAAATGATCTAGAAATGAGTCAACATTTCTTAAATGAAGTGTATTTACCTTTAATTTGAGCTGGTAAATGAGTTGATTTGCCAATGAAATCAGTATACTCACTCTTAAAATGAGATAATTAGATAATATGCACTTAAAATAAGACATTGCAATTGTTTTTCTTAATTTTGTTATGTAAATTGTCTTGATCTATTGGCAAAGTGACACACTTACCTCCTAAATTCAAGAAAAACATGCACTTATTTTAAGTAAAAATGACCTGTTTAGATAAAATATTTTGTAGTGTACAATGTTCAATAGTGAAAGCCTTACTTACTGGAACCTCCTTGGGTTTTACATCTGCAGGAACTGGAGTCTAAAAGAAAACAGCAACACAAAAACAAACATTTAAAACCAGGAAAAAGATAAATAAAAAGAGATAAACTGAGAGAGTTAATATCTGCCCCGAGGGTTGGGTGAATTCACACTGCTAACAGGGTTGAGAAATAAGGTCCGAGTTTCCATAATAAAACAAAAAATATTTTTTGTGTATTCTTTTAATGACATGGGATTTAAATTTCACGGATGTTAAGTATTAAAATGAATCAATGACTTCTGTGTAATTATTGTATGATGCTGTCTGGACACATTGGTTTTTATTACTGCACGGTTGTTTTGTGTCTTCTATTGCGTTGTGTTTGATTTAAAAGGTTTACAGTTAATTTTAATTTCAGCCGATTAACTGATAGCATAGCCCATTTTCTGTATGGTTGCATTAATGTTTTTAAAATTATTTAAGTAAATAAAAAACAATAAAGGATATCAAATAATAATAATAAATATTAAAAAAAGATAAATATTTACAAAATGTTCCTCTTTTGTGGATTTTGTAAATTGCAATAGTTAATGTATCCCCTAATATTCAATATTTTTCAATAAATAAAAAAAACTAAGTTGGATAAACAAAAAAAAACACCTCAGATTTCTCAATCAATCCCTTGACTGCAGTCTATTGTGCAAAACACCTCTTATTACCATCTTTTTACAAATGAATTATATTCATCCTTTATAATAAAGTGCACAGGGGTCATTTTCATTCCAGCATCCCTGCTATCGCAGCATATAAAGTACTTAAACCTTTAAAAGCTGCAGCTGGAGCTTTAGTTCTGCTATTATGCAACGAGCAACTACTGTTTTCACTCAATGTGGTGCGTCGGCTTCATCTGGACTTGTTCAAGACTTAGCAGCACATTTTTCGAAACAGTGGTATTGTGTCTGCAGCAAAGGAATAAAAGTAACTGAAAAACGTCAACATTTTTGTATTTATATGATGTTAAAACACAAAGTTTCTAATGACTTCTGTAATAAATCACAGGTGTTGAATATACGCTCTCTGTTTAACCTTTACATGTACAGATAAATGCAAGTTTGCTGGTATCCTTCGATTAATGGAACAAAAAATGTTTTGAAATAACTTCATAAAATCAGTCTTTGCTTTTGATATTTGAATATATATATATATATATATATTTAAAGATTGTAATGGCTTGGACTTTTTATATATTTCAGTCAATAGTGGAACGCAGGTGGAGTTTTAAAAACCAACCCACTGTGTGCTCCGAAAGTAATAGCACTGACCCTGGCGTTCAGATGGTTTCATGTTACATGCTTTGTTGCTTTTTTCTACCATCTGCTCTTTCTCTCTGATCAAACTATCATGCATATTTTCTTACAACCTCATCAACGTGCAAACATGATGAACATTAGCCAATTTATCTTTTAGAAATCTAAAAGGTCAGCAAAGTTAGATTAATCTTTCACAGATATTCTAAGGTAGTCTTGATGAAAGCAGCCAAAAAAGAAACATGCAGAGGAAAAAAAGCTGAAGCATATGAAGTAAAACAACATTTGCAAGAAGCAAAAAACAGACCATGTCTCTCAATCTGTATCCTGGAGGCAGGGTGTCGTCTCTTTCTCCACATTTCGGGACTGTCTCAAAGGTGACTACATTCTAAGAAACATGCACCATACAATTAAACAGCAGAGCCATGCAAGAAAATGTTAACTATTCCAATAAATGCAGAATCAAATGCGTGCAGAGCTTTTCTGTACCTCCACAACCTCTGACCCTGAGTAAGCAGGCTGTGAGGGTGTGAGAGAATCAGCTGATGGGAGTGTGCTGAGCAGGGCATCTAATGGATCAGCAGCAGGGGCCTGCAGAAGCAACAGGACTGAGCAAGCCACAAGCAAGTAGCATGTTTTATAGAGGAAAAACTTTAAAATGACTTTACCTTTTTGGTTGTTGTTGCTTTTACTGAGGAGGGAGGAACCTCCACCTGCACCTGCAACATAGAATCAGCATCATAAAGAAGCATATTCTTTGTTCAGAGAACTGATTGCAATCTGAGGCATACGTTCAATTTCCTCCATGTAAAAACGCAAAAAGGGAAAACTATCAACGTTTCACAGAAAAAAAAAGAAAAAAAAGAAAAGCCAATAAAGTTTTAGCCAGCTTCCACCACAGGTTAGATTGTCATCATCTACCTTAGTTTTTGCTGTCTTAGAGTCTTCGTTCTTTGCTTGTGCTGAAACATTTCCAGCCACAGTTGCTGCAGCTGGCTTAGACGTTTTACCAGCATCAGTTTTAGGTGCTTCGGCTTTGACTGTTGCAGTTGTGCTCTAAAATGCAAGAAATTTAACTAATTTACAGACCAAGTTGACGTCCAGTGTGCATATGCAAAAGTAGAGAACACACAGGAGGCTGGGAAGTGACACAGAGGGGAAAAAAAGCCTCATCCAGCTTTGAGGAGTCAAAAGATATGCAAAGAAAGTGATGCAAGTTTTATTGAGCTCATCAGAGTTACTAAGGTTTGCAGATGTGTGTAATGTCATAGGAGGACAAGAAGAGGCATGCTGAACAAGAGCTGTAGAGCAAATATTCTGGGTCATTCGATGAACCAATGTGTTTTAAGGAGAGCAAAGCGGTTTAAAAGGACATTCCTTGAAGTGTCAGATGGAAAGGTTGCTACGCAAAGACAGAAGCTGGGCCCAGTAAAACCAAAAAACAAAGAGAGAAACCCAAGACACCTTCAAGGATAAGCTGCACCACCGCTGGGTCATCCTGGACTAAAAGTTGATTCTACCTTGGCTGTGTCTTTAGGTTTTGTCTCCGCAGTGGTGTCAGCTTTTCCAGTGAGAGAAGATGGGACTGAGGCTTTGACTGGGGAGCCTGCAGAAGCCTAGAGACATGAACCCAAGGGATGATATGAAAGTCCAAAGAGTTACAGCATCTTTAAACTGCAACTACATAAGGAATTGCTAATAAGTTTTAGGGAAAACTAAGAGAAGGAAATTTTAAATGATTTGAAAAAGCAAACCGTGCCTTATGAAAGCATCGCCACTCCCTGTACTTTTCCCCGTTTGTCACCTAAATGTCTTTTCTAGGAGTGTAATGGGTTTGTCAAACACAAAGAAGTGCATAAATGAAGCAGAGAGAAGAGAGTATGATGTTTTTTTATTATTCACCACTATTGACCATAAGAGAGCTGCATGAATATTCAATGAGTCGATATTTTATTAGAATAACTTCCATCCTGAAAAGTATCTCAGTCTGAATGTCGACAATACAACTTGTCTTAGTAAAAAAGTTTCAGACCAGTAAGATGAGATAAAACAACTTTTTACGTTTTTCAATAGATTCCCAACTTCCTAAGCTGGTCTTTACTTTGAATAAGCCAAACAAACAGATTTCTATACTGTTCTAATGCAGCTTTCGCTGTTTGCTTAGAGCCACGCCTCCAGCCCAGTTTAGGTCCTTTAAAGCCTCCAGCTAGTTTTTTATATTTAATTTTGTTTTTCCTTCAGAACTGAACAGCATTCCCACAGCATGACGTTACCACTGCAGGCATTTTAGAACAACTGGTTTTTATCCTGAAGTTAAACTGCACAAAAGGTCCATTTTCTAATAAATTACTTATATTTTGATTTACTGGATTCTAAATAGAAGTACACCTTGTAGAGGTAGGCTGAATACATTCTATCAAACCGATTAACATTTATCTTTTATAAACAGAAGTATATTTAAATCCACTACAGAATAATGCGCCACTTTGTGTTCGTCTGTAGACCATTCCAGTGAAATACATTAAAGATTTGGATAGTTAAATGGATATACTTTAAAACTACTGCAACCCCAGGATAGTTGATTTTTAGAGCTAAACAAGAAATATGATCTTTTATTGGCCTTTTTCACCAGTAAAACTTAAAGAGCACGGCCCAATAGTCCCAGCTGATGACATGTCAATGACAGAAACACCAGTTAGATCAGTGTTAGTCTTTAGCAAAGGGGTGTGTGGGTGTGAAGGAAGATTGGGAAAGTCGAGGTCAGCAGTGCAGTGAGTGAGGAGCATTCAGCCCCAGCGAGATGATATGAGAACCCATTTAAGAAGCACAGCAAGTCACCATATTCTGACATATCAAGACATATAGATGGACTGAACCACAGAAAGGTTCCAAGTAAACAGAACAAGCCAGGAAACGAGAGATTCCAGCTTCCCTTAATGAGAGAGGTAAGAGTTTAGCCCAAAGAATGGGGTGCAAAATGTTACTGCAAAGAACCAAAAGCGTCCAGCAGTTTTATTTTGACAACCAGGATCCATCTACCTCTGCTTTGGCTTTAGGTGAATCCTTTCCTGCAGTTCCAGCTTTAGCAGCTGCTCCTGCTGTCATACCAGTCCCTGCGGCCCCGCCTGCTGCTGTGGTAATGGCAACGGGTTTTGTGGTCATGGTGGATCCTGAATGTGCCTTCTGCAAAGCACCAAGTATGGGGAAGTGGATCAAAACAACTACAATGCTGTGATGAAGCCCTCCTAACTATTTCGTCTCAGTTTTTAATGCAGATGAAATATACACACTTGTTCATATTTAAATGGTTTTAAATGCATGACAACAACAATACTGGGATACGATTGCCTCATACGTACTTATCCTTGTTATTTTAGGTATGTGGTGTAGTTATCAGTAGTCAAGCAATTTTTGTCTGGAAATATTTCTAGAGGGAGTGTCAAGCCAACATGGCCTTTCCTCCAGAGCAGTGCTGTTTTATCTCTTACCACAAGGGGAAAAAACAACGCCACAAAAATTCTATTTTGCTTATAAAATGACATGGTTATTTATAAGTTTGAAAAAGTGAATGTACAAACCAGAAAAGAGTTTTCCATATAAGCATGATCAAAAGGAAAGAAGGGGGAATATTTCCCACAGTTTTGAAGTTGATGGATCTTTTTGCCCAATTCCTTGATTTAAAATTTAGTTCTTTATATATACATATAAAAAAAACTAAACTTTAACTGTGTAAAAGAAAACAACATATAAAACCCTTTGTCTTAAAGAACGCTATTAAATAGTTGCATCCAAGTTTGTAAGAAAAAAACAAAAAAAACAATGGATCTCTGAAATCAAAATAAAAGCATAAAAACATTTGTTTTTTTCCTTTCAAGTGACTTTAGTTCATTTAAAAAAAATGTTGGGCTCATCTCTTTATTTAAATCAAGGGGCCATACAGCATTATCCCAAGGTCCGCAAATGGCCTGCGGGCCACACTTTGGATGTCCTCACAATTAAAAAACATATTTTCCAGAAACCAAGTTAATATTCTGCCCGATGTGGCAGTAAACACAATCATAGGGTGATGATAGATGCCTTGCTACACAACTTTCTGCAAATTCAGTACATGAAAATCCCAAAAATTAAAAAAAGGCGTTGATGCTGTTATTGTTACAGTCAGATGCAGAGAAGTGAGTCAACAAAATGACCAATGAGGGAGCTGGTTACATCTAAAGAGCAACTGTGATTGGTTAAACTAGTTTCCAAAAATTACAATTAAAATCTGCAATAAGGAAATGCTTTTCGAATTGAATGATTTAAATGTTAAATTTTAAATGGGTGCATTTCTTTTCCACTACATCACTACATCCTCCATATAAAATATTTAAAACACTTTGTTGTTTTTCATGTTTTGAAATAAATAACCACAAGTCAAACCTGAGTCTAAACAGCCATATTTTCTACTTGATATAGACGTATTGCAGTGGGATAATGCATCCAGTATTGGTATAATAGCCGCATCCATCTGACTGTTAAGTCCAGTTTATGTTAGACTAGTGGTTCTCGAAGACCCCTGTCCTGCATTTTGTAATCGTATCCTTGTTGCATTACACCAGAAGATAATTGATGATTAACAGGCTTCTGCAGCACTTGATTGCAAAGGAGGAGCCTTCATTTGAACTCAGTGTGCTGGAACAGAGACAGATCTAAAATATAAAAAAAATCCCTGAGGACTAGTGTTGGGAACCGCTGCATTACACTCATGTAGCAGGCACAGTGTTTGAGGCATTTAATTCTCAATGCAGGTTTTACCTGCTGTACGTAATATCTGGAAACACAAGACTACGAGCAGAAGTAGAAAAAAACTGTTTCTAAAATTTTTAAAACCTCTTCATGACATCCAACAGTTTCCAAGAGTTGATCATCTGATATTTTGGAGCACATTTTTATGTAGCTACAAGTTTTCCAGGTAAACTGTGTGGAAATTTCTGCCTGCACGGCGGCCATACAAAAGGGTGTGGATCCTACAATGACTCAAGTACAAATCAAGCTTTAATAATGCATCCATATCAAAGAGCAGGGCCTCATTCATTCCCAGTTGGCACAGGGCCTCCCACCCTACCTGCTCAGGGTTTAGGTAAAGATCTGCACTCTCTACATTCTGACAGTGTCTTCAGAAACAGAAAGAAAAGGTGGAAACATTTGTTGTGATGCTAAAGCTTTTTTTACTTGTTCCTTTATAGCAATAGGAGTCTCTGTCCGATCGCTGCCTTAAAGAATGTCCCCACTTCACTCCACATACCTAAAACACAGTATGTTGTTCTGTTCACAAAGACACACCGCTGCATGTGTTTAAAACCTAAAGAAAAACAAAGAAATCTTTTTCCAATGCTAAAACAGACACTGGCTTATCCTGGCAGTTGATGGACAAGCAAAAGCAATTGAGCTGCTACTGCTGTTGTGTTCAAACACAGTCTGCAAGTAAGTAAAACACAACCAAGAACCATTTTTTTTTTTTTAAGAAACACTGTAGTATCATTTTGAGAATTAAAGCTTCAACTAGTAGGACAGTAAAAAGGGAGTTGATGTATGTAAAACAACTTCAGGATTTCCATTAATTACCTGAAGAATCTGCCATTTAAACGTTCTACTTACCTAAGTTATATGATTGACTTTTAGATTTTTTTTTACTTTTTTATTTTTGTCATGTTACAACCACTAATTGGAAGCACTCTGATATGATTTTATTTGGTAGACAAACTAAAATAACTGTGTATAAAATTATGCTTCCTTTTTACATTTTCCCTGAATAGAAAAATGAAGTTACCTGATGAGAAGATAGATGGAGAAAAATTCAAAAGATTAAAGAAAGTGGCTGAAGTTCACTTCAATCGATCGAAAAACATAATCATGAAAAAAATCACTCTCAAAGAAGCCCATTTGTAAAAGCCAACCAGTAAATGTTAGAGTTTCTGCATTTGTGAAGCAAAGCTGCAGCTAATAATCATTTTGCAGATTCGATTAGTATGAAAATGTTTTTGTTATTGACAGATAAACAGATAGCAACAGGTGCTTTATAGGAGATTTTTTTTATGGAATTTGATAAGTTCAGATTTTGTCTCTTAAGGTATTCTGGATATAGAATACTTACTAACAAGGAAGTCTTCATCTTAAATGCAAAAGGTGGTTATTGTTAGTAGAGGCTGGCTTAATTTCTGCTCTAAACAGGTTCTTCCTTCAACAAATGGCAAGCTTTTTAATGATAACCATTTACAAAATTAATTGACAAATTCTTTCAATAAACCATCAATCACATTACGTGTATTTGCCCAAGTGCAAAAGGTGGTAGAGAAAAACCAAATATATATTTTTCATATATTTTTTTTAATAGAAGATTTGGAAACTATGCATCTTTTTAGTTCAACAACAATCATACAGCACTTACTCAAAGGCATAACATCCTAATAAAATGCATTAAAATGTGTGGTTGTAGATGACAGAATTTGAAAATGTTTAAGGTTTATGAAACTTCAAGATGCACTAAACCTAGAACAAAAAAAAAATTAGGGATTGGATTATTTGACAAAGATTTTCCTTTATATATTTAGTAGCTGGTAATAAACTCAGATTGCAATTTGCAAAGATGAATGCTTTTGGGGAGGATTTTTACACACACAGATTAACATCAACCTAACTATACTAACACTAAATAAGAAACAAGAAAGAGGGTCTGCCCCTTTGCTTAAGACATAGTAGCTCTTAATTGTCTTTGTAAAGACAACCTATGCGCCAGAGCAGGAAAGGAAACATCGACAAAGCTAGGATAATGGGGGGTGGGGGGGGTTTACGGTCAGCAAGACTCAGGAAGTCAACACTGTTTTGTTGTGGTTTTTTTGAGAAAGAAAGGGCAAGAAGAAAAGAGTTTAAATCACATTACAAAGGAATGTGTGATACCTCGAACTGTGCCGTGCTCCCAGGAGAGACCTGAGGTGCCGGTTTGGGTGTAGATTGGCTTGACTGTGACTGCAGGCGACAAAAACACAGGGGGGGGAAAAAGTCAAACATGTGCAGTGAGAGCAAGAAAAAAAATCTTAATTAAATAAAGATTGACAGAAAAACATTTGGATGCAAGAAGAACAAGATGGGGAGAAAACAAAACATTCTGTGAATAAAAGTTACAGTACGGCAGACACAGGACGACAAAGGAAGATAATAAATTCTAAAACAAAAAAAACAGTAGCAATGTAACCATGAAACCCGGTCATTAAAGACCAGCCAGAGATAGATGAATCCAGTGCTGCATTCCTGGCTGAAGGGTGTGAGCCGAGGGGTGTGACTGCTGTTTGACAACAGAGTGCAAAGACAAGTCTTTATTATTGTCAGTGGTCACCACAGCAACAGGGAGCAGACACAGCAATCAGTTCTTCAGCTGAGGTCACCCCCAGTAAATTCATTCCTAATCTATTTTCTAATTCACTCTCAAGTGTTTGCCCTAAAGCACATTCAAAAGGTAAGACTGAATGACGTAGAGATAACTACTGGCAAACATTTTGGAACCAGAATAAAACAATTTGAAGAGAAACAAACAATACCATCGCCTGAGTTGATAGGGTCAGATAAAAACAGCTTTCAAGCCTCTTAATTGAGCTGAGATGGTTAAACATATACATCTTTAAGTACTGCTATAACTTCTCTTTATTGGGATTTTTTCCCTCACATCCTCATATAGCTAAAACATTAGCTGTAATTTTTACCTAAGCTTTTAAAACAATTGCCTCTTGGTATTTGAGCAATTGGAGTTGACGTCTGAGTTCAGTCAAGCCAGTTTATCTCTGGAACAGATCTGGCGTACAGAATGTCCCTTACATTGACAATATCTCAGAAGTCAGGGAACCTTTGCAGAACCTCAGTGTCGTCTAAATTATTGGTTGTAAAACCAGTTTTTATGTTAGTTTGGGAGGACCGATCTTTTGGAATACCAAACTGTGTTCAGGTTTCAGTCTTTTGATGAAACTTCCACCTACATAAAACATAAAATCACTTACAATGTTCAAAAACAACATAGGAATTAGCAAGGATAAAACCAATCACCTTCAAGGGGGAAGTGGGTTTTCTCATAAACACAAACTAAGAAGGTAACAATAGTGAAAAGACACCTACAGTACTTCTATATCAATGATTTAAAGCTGGACTGAAACGTGCTGCCACTAATGTGAGCTGTTAATTTATTTTTTGCAGAAAGGTTAATTAACAGACAGAAAAAGACTGGCAAGAAGCACAGAGATGAAGCATAGCATTATGCTAAGCATTATGCTGCGGGACTGTTTTGCTACAAATGGTACTGGTTGGCATGTTAAGTTAATTCACCTAAAAATCACCAGCATATTACATCATACCTTCAAACGAGACTTGAAATTGATGAAGCAGACATGGAGCCTTTGGAAAGGTAGAATTTAAAACCATTCAAAATGAATGGGCTGAGCATGAAGACCGGATCTGTGCCAGGAAACCACCTCATTTAAATCAGCTCTACCATTTCTGATCATAGATGTGCTCCAGCACCTCTTCATAGTCATACCAGGCCTTTGATGATAATGGCTACAAATAGTGACTGGTTTCCCTGCAACATGCTAAAAGAGTTTCAGGGAAATTAATATATTTGAACTCAGGATCTTTTCTTAAATCCTTGATGTTTTTCATTTTGGATTTCTAACCTTATATGACATGAATTCATCAATTATTCAAGTTATGGTGCATTTTAAACTTATATAATAGGTAAACATCTGACTAGCTCTGCATAGAAATGCATTATATCAATTATAGTAGCAACTATTTAATTATTTATACAATAAGGAATCACTGATGTTCCTTGCTTTATTTTATTACTGGGAGAAATTTCCACCACATTGACTATAACTTCTATGAAGTGTGAAGAGCTGCTTTTAAACTACAAGAAAACATTAATCTGGTGTTCACTCTGCACGACATGAATTTAAGAAACCAACCTTCTGTTTCACCGCATAACACGGGGAAAAAAGGGCACATATGAAATTGTTTGTGTTGTCTATGTGTTGGAAGCATGCCACAGTCTCCAGGTGGAGCTGAACTGGCAGCAGGGCCCAGCCCAGCTCTTTTAAATGGTGTGAATAAAGAGTGGAGATCCTCCACACCTCAGATATTCAGATGGGATTGCGGTTGGTGTGAGTTTAACATCCAGCCCAGTGCATTTTGTGCCATCGCCCTGCGTATTCAGATGTAACCCAGCCTGCTGGTCAACATACTCGCCTTCTTTGTTCAAAAAAACTCTTAGAAATGCTGTGCCTGATAACTTTACAGACTCAGATTATTGGTTTTTGCACCTGTAACAATTTTCTGATTATTTAAAGAGTCCAAATACATAAAAGAGGAATATTATGATTGAAGAAATCGATGAAAAAACATAGAGGTTTAATATACAGCAACATGTTGCACCAACCTCGTCTGGAATCTGACTTCCGATTGAGAAATCCCCGCCCCTCAGGAGAGTCAGTAATTGCGTTTCAGACAAAAATGAACAACAACCTCATCTATCAGAGCCAACTGAACTTCTTACTGCTTTTACTGAGAAACGTGTACAATTTAAGAAAATCCATATTGCAGATTTGCTTAACTATCATTCCTATCTGCTATATTTTAAGATGTTTAGACTTTTTGGAAGATTGATTGTTCAGAGACAGAGGGAAGTGGTACAGAGGAAGAAGTGAGATAATGAGTAGCAAGGGCACCCCCCCCCCTTCTGTCACAGAGGAAGTCATCCCGCCACGGTTACCACAGTAAACATCAGTGTTTACTTCCAGAAAGTATTGCTGCTGATGTAAATTACTATTCACAGTTAATGGAGATTAATATCTACAAGCAAAAATTTGGTTTTGAAAGCATTTTGCATGTGGCCCATCCACAAAGTGGAGTGTCAAAGATAAGAATAGAGGACAACCTTTACACGTGTGCTATGCATTTCTGCCCAAGGTGGCATGTTGGCAGGAAGGTGGCACAAGCAAAACTTACTTTTCAGTTGATAATTCATTAATTCAGTCAAAGAGAAGTGGGAGCTGCCATGTGTCCGGTTCAATCTAGGCAGAGGAAGATACTATGGCCAAAACACAAACCAATCAAACATCAACCTGAATTATCTACAAGAAACAGAGATTATTGTTTTTCTTTCACTTTTGTACTAATTCTGGCCTTTATATAGAGCAAATGGACAGGAAATGGAAAAGGAGACAACTGATGAGACAGAATCAGACTGAGATGACTGTAAAACCTGGAGGTGGGTGGAGAGGCTCCCCAATGTGTCCCTCATTCTGCTGACATATGTCCTTCAAATGGCATGTTCTATCTGCAAACTGGTATCAGGTAGTTCTCTTTTAAAAACACAGCTTTAAGAACACAAGGCTCACCTTGATTTTTGCCTTCCCTTCAGGCTAATTCTGCTTTCAAATGCATTGCACAAGTCCCCCACCTACTTCAGGTGGTATTTAGAAAAAAAAAGACAAACCGGTGCTTCAGCAGGCAACTAATCACACGATCTCTCACTTTTCTTAACCCTGTGTTGAAAACCCAAGGTCAGAGAAAAATTTGAACTCCACTCATATATGGCTTAAACTGATCCTTCAAAATAATGCTTTGATACAACATCAAGCACAAACACTGCAATGAATTTCAAAAAATAAATTATTGTCCAAGAAATGCAGTGACATCAAAGAGCAGAATCTCTGAGGGAGGGGAGGACTTTAAAATTATTATGATAAAATGAACATAAGAGATGCACCTAATAAAGAAGAGCCTAAACACTTTCTGTCTTCTGTTGCATTCCTACATTCCTCACAGAGGCTCTACAACAGCAGCTAAATAGTATGTCCTAAAGAACAAACACAGTGACAGAGAAAACCGTACTAAACTTGAACATGTCACAAGCCAGGCAGCTTGACCCTTCAGAATATTAGAGCCTAAACTGTGTGATACTGCATGATGGAAAATACTAGACTGTATGCTGCAGCAAAACAGAGTAAGAAAACTCCAGCAGATGCAAGCAGAGCTGGACCTTGAAGAAAGGAAGTGAAGAAGGAAGTAAAGGAGACACCTCGGGATGCATTCCTCTCCGACAAAGACTACAGAAATCCTACTAGCAGCGGTCACACTGGACACTTCCCCAGCAAGATTCTGCCACTGCTTTAAACTGTCCTGGGTCATCTTTGGTCATGAGAGAGTTGAAGTGGCGTTAAGGTGTGTTTGTTACTCTCACCATGCTGGCAAGGTCTTTGCACTGGACAAGGGATGCTCACATCCACCACCAAGGCATATCATTCTTCCTTTGATGTAAATATGACAGATTTTATGGGGCCTAGAGATGTAAACACCATTCTTCTACATAATAAACGTAACAGATTCAGGTCTGTAAGTGATGTCCAGTATTTTATTACTGCAAATTATCTTTTGCAACAGATGATAACCTGAATTCAGATTGTCTAACTGGTCTTTTTTTTGTGTGCTCTCCTTACAGAAGCTTTACTCTTCATATAGGATGTGATCTTCTCCCACACTGGCTAAGGTCACCACTCCCTCCTGGGTGATACTGAAAGTGAAGTTAAGGAATGCACTGAATAAAAGGTTCCAGACCACTAATTCAAACTGGCCACTAGAAAAGTATTTATTTCTGACTTTCTTACAGCAAAAAGTTTGGCTGAAACTGTTTTTAATTTAAATCATGATCCAGCTGCAAGACAGCACTGTGCAAAATTAGGGTGATCTTGCTTAAAGGTTTAATGATTACATAAATCAACTTTTTATCTGCACAGTATCAATATGATTGATGCACTTTAAGACCTTAAGTGCAACCATACAGCTCGAAGAAATAAAAATCTGCTTTAATATGGAGCCAACAAACAGAAACTGCACGGTGTATCAGAAGCTAGTGGAACTGTAATGCTGACAGACTCATCACATGACTAGAGACGCCTGAAGCGGAGCAGGAAAACGACATGCCA